AAACAAGCAAACAAAGTGTGGCGTGTAACACAACAGTTGTGAAGAAAGTAAATTGGCAAATGATATCATCAGGTTTGCAACTAAGGTACAGTACCAATGATACGCACTTGCAAATAAATAACACTACAAATGTTTTCACTTAATCCATTCACATATGTACATAGATGGATTAACCAATTATGCATTTATTTGAATTTTGTAATGTCACGGTGACTGTTGATATCACAAAACCTAGGTCATCTAGGACCCTCCCATTCTCTCCGTAAAAGAAACGTAAGCCATTTCATCTCTCTTCTGCACAATAAACCTATTCCATATTATGTTGAGGGAATCGTGCAATCATAGTTCGCCAGACATCGAAAGATTACATATTATATTAGCCATAGCACATGATACGGTGAAAAGTAATCTCTCATTTCTTCTAACCATCGGGGAGTAGACAGAGATGAAAATTTCCACACATTAAGCTAGTGTGTAAAAATATTTGACAAGAAAACAAATAATAAATCACCCCAATAAAAATTAAACAATTCACATCCTTAGCATCACATAAATCGTAGACCTTTACTAAACTAATATCTACATAAATTACAAACTTAACTAGAACAAAAAAGGGGAGAGGGGGGGGGGGTGAAAAAAATAATAACAACGTTGAACTTAAAAATAATCACATTGACCTTTCGCTAGTAACTTAAATGTATTAGAAAACAAACTACTAAAGAAAATAAAAACAAAAAGAGAGGCACGCTCTCGACGATTCTTCACGACAAACATTATCCCATCGTTGGAGGAAACATTTCAATAAACCGTCCTCTCACCACTATTCATTTACTAAAAGCCAGGCCGTCCATCACACCGCAGCGTGTACACGACATAAAAATAACATTATTTAACTTTGGTTGCGTCAAGCCTCAGCCTAGCCGTGAAACATTTTACGGGGCTTATGCCTTTTATAATTTTCTTTTATCAGAGAAGATGACCTTCACCTGATAATAAGTGATTATTGCAGCCTACAGAGAAAGGGGGGATAAGGAGAGGGCGGCCATTCAGATTGCATAAGTCGCTGAAAATCTACCACAATGAAGACCAATTTACTGTAGATTAATTAATTGTACTAATCATATAAATTTCCCTACGACACAAGAGCATATTACTCTTTGAATCAATAATCTATTTAATCCACTAGCACTTAAATATAAGTGCAGTTAGATATTATTTTAGTAAAATCCAGGATTCATCCTATTCTAATTTGCTATATTTTTCTAACCGGATCAATTTTCCCAATCAGCCGAACTCTATTTATACTTTAAACCATTCTTTGGAATAGACAGTTCGACGCGCAAACGTAACACGCTACGGTGTGAAGGCGATACTCGTCAATGCCTTAAAAACGTCGCGCCTCACGCTTCGATTTGTTCACTATTCGAAAGCAAAACAAAAAAATGAAAGAGAGAAAACAATTAAAAGCGAGAAAGTCCATTTCCTGATTGCGGACAGGCTCTGAATGGCGTTTGAGCGTAGTGAGCATTTCCCACTAAGTGATTTTAGCGGAGCTCTATTACTCAAGAATTGTCGCTACCGTGAAACGCGAAGTGACACTTCCGGTTCCGGTATAATGACGCGGGGCTTACACTAATTAGTTCGATATCATAAATGCAAAACGCATACTGCAGTTGGACATAATACTAGGAATGGCCGTAGTGTGAAGTGATATAATTCTTTATCAAATATTGGTTTTGAATATAAATCAAATACGATAACTATGTAGCGAATTAAGTGTGTTGTAAGTGTATCGGTCGCAACCGCCCCTATTTTACGACGTCAATCTATGATATACTATTAAATAATCTATCTATTTTATTGAATATATTACCGTCGGAGCTATTTTAAGAACCCAGATTAAGGACGGTTATGATAATAATGAGAGAGGAATAAGGAATGATTGTATTTAATAAATGGTTTGGATTGTCTTTTAGCAGATTATTTTATGTTCAGGCTCTAATATTTTTTAAAAGGCACGCTTGGATATATCAAGGAACTTGTGTGGATATGATAAGATTCTTAACACAACTGTTCGTAAGATTTCATCGATATTTTCTGAACTATAATTAGAGACAAAAGACTTCTTTATCTCTTTGTCACTGTGACACGTGAACAATGACGATTGTCTATTTTTTTGATGATGACTTTTGTTATAGTATAATATATTTTCAATTAGATACCGCGAGCACAACTGAAAAGTATAGTATAAATATCAATCGATACAATTACAAAGAATCAATTTCGAAATTCTGATATGTAAAATTTGATATCGTTGTGAGGGTGGCTGAATTATTAATAAAGGTTAAGTATTAAAATAAAAAAGTTAGCTTTTCTCGCTAGCCCGATATATATTCTGTACCGAATGTTGTTTTATCAATTGAAATTATTTCATGCATGCTCTGTGTGAGTTTTTCTTTCGATAATTCCCACGTACCCCGAACTTTGTTAGCGTAATTACATTTTGAATTCATTATAATATCAAAATTAGGAATAAATGAATGTATGTAATAAGTGTAGTTTTGAAATCCTTCCTTACTAACGTAGCCCGTAGCAAAGAATGGAATATACGCTATTAAAGTCTACGTAGATTTCTATTTTAATACAAACTGTTGGTTTTTTATGTAACTTTAAGTACGCTTTAATGTCAGCACTCTATTTACATCTGGAAAGTTACTTAATACATAGTAGACAGAATAGCACGTAAATATATATTGAACTGTATATTAATAATGCATAACATATATACGAAATCAGACCTAGTCGCATAACAAAATCAAACAAATAACCTAAACTGCGAACATACACATTAATTTGCCTGTATCGTTCCAATGTGTAGACATAATGTATACAACATTCTGTTTACACGTAAATATATACAAAGAAAAACTTCCGCACGGCAATACGGGAGATTATCATTTCCAATAAAAAAACCCTAGGCACTTACGGCGAATGTAATTTGGCATGTGTTTCATAGAATCACTTTTAGGAAATTAATCTAGGATTGCACTTAACGTATTTAATTGTTAAGTGGAGAATATGGCATTATGAAAAAATCATTGCAACAATGCTTTATAGCTGACTAAAACATAAATTCAATTCATTTCCATTTCCACTATGCACATCCAGGTAGATCCCAGTAACAAGGTATTTAAATCTACACTTAAATGTTATACATTAATCCAATCTCCACTTAACGATAGCGACAAACAATTACAAATTAAATGATACTTAATCCGTTAGTGTTATTTTTTACAGCTGAGACTTACTCTAATTTAGATATTAATGAAAGTAAACCCCTTTTAAAAAAAAACGTCTCATTGACGTTGGAAATTATAAAGTTTTAGATACGTCATTCTTGTTGGCGTTGCTTATATCGTGTCTCTGGGTAATATGCACAAATTTCTTCATTATAGAAATAACTCAAATCAGTTTATAATTGAACTAGCCAGTTGTAGACTCTAAAACAGCCTTCTCTAATTTTGACGATGTCTCAACTCCATTGTCATTATTCGAGAGCCCGACGTATCTTTATGATTTCACATCACTGCTTCTGATCAAGTCGAACGTCAATTTCTAACGCGGCGTTCGGAAATTGCAATTCCGACGGAGACTGCTTTTTATTAAATTCGCTTTCTTTTTGTCGTCCCTCCTCGGAATTCAAAGTAGAAACAAGCGGGGAAAGCTGGTTGAAGTGAAATGTGACGTTAGAGAGCCTTCGCACCGTCACTTCTGCCTCGGCTCGGTCTGGATATAATTTACGGTATGAGTTGAGCTCCACTAGCCTCTATACCCAATCTAGCCAATATTCGAGTTTTGCAGTTGTTGCAACAAATTATGAGCGTGTAGGTGACATTAAATATGGAGATGGAAACAAAGAATTTTCATCCAGACATATGGACATACATGTAATTGATTACAATGATATTCTAACGCCCAAAAGAACAAACAGAACTGAACAAAAGCCCGACGCGAAGACGATAAGAACGCGAGAACAAGAAGTGTTTATGTGTTTATTTATTGTCACAAGGGATTCAGGTTTTGGTATATCTCAAAGCGCAAGACTTATGCTAAAAAATTCACTTACATACGTATTGACTTAAACGTCACAGCACTCATTGTATAACATCACTATAAGAAAGTGCTTCAGATGCTGAAAAAATGTCTTGACCCGTTGCCTGATGGCGAGATGACCACGATATCTGGCAGGCGAATCGATCTATACTTAATGTAAAATGCGAGGAAATTAAAAACTTAAATGAAACGTAACAACGAATGTTCTTCTCTGTGCACCTTCTTAAAATGAATAAATCACTTTCTAAAATTCACTCTGCGGTATTTTTCCTTGGAATAAACAAAAGAAAATGTATAAAACCCTGTCCGATACAAATCACGGTGATTTGAAATATTAACAGCGGACACAATGGAACTGTCAAATAATAAATGATGTCGCCCGTTCAAAATTTACGAAGTATCGTTAAACTTCCACAGAGTCAATACAAGAAAGCGATCAATTCTACAAAAACGTTCACATTAATCATCAATGGCAAAAGCAGATTTAAACGATTCATTTGGTTCAATTTTCGCTTGTTAAAGTTATATAAGTTTGTACGAGTGAGTTGCTTCGGATTGTTTCATAACTTTAAAGCAACAAAGAATTAGCCCTCTTAATCATTGCATATTGTGACCGGGCTAAATTCAGATTATCAATTTTATCTATTTACTTGTTTATGTATCACGTATTTACGTTTTGTATATATCTTGAACTACTACTAGAGTCTAGAAGTGTTAAAAGCAACTTATTTCATGTTTTTCCATAATCTGTTTCATCGTTTCAATTTCAAAATTCGAGTATGGGTTGTAAACTTGGTCGGACTAAATTGGGAAACTTTATTAATAGTAAGGAAACACCGAAAATTGAACTAAATGGTCACAATGATTTACTATAGGTCGACGATTCACCAGAGGTAGCTCCATAGTTCACAAAAGATCTTGTACTGTAAGAAGGTTGACGCTATGAAGAATAAATGCAGTATCACGTAGCGCAGGTTGTCCTGACGTACTTGTCGCACCATTGTGTTGTTCCCCCTGGTTGGGAACTGGCCAGTGCGATAGAACTCTTCGAGCATTTTGTCCTTCTCAATGAACCTGTCGTACAGCCATTGAGTCATTCCTTCAACGTCCGATGGAACCTGCGGGTAGACAAAAACAATTTGGAAGATTACACGGAAAATGACATACCATCAAGTGTGAATCGCTTTTGAAACTGTATGTTATGAATATAATAAAAAGGAATTACAAGTTTGACTATTTATACAGAGAGGCTTTTTTAAAGGTGCCCAAATGTACACAGGAGGTTCAGACTCGGTAGTATAATCGTTTATTGAAATAAAAACAAACTTGTTAACAACGCGGTAGTCATTAATAAATACCTAGATTTTACTGTTCACGCACACAAACGAACTTGTGTGCGTGTTAGTTATGAATGAAATAAGTTCCAAAGTATGTAATTAATTGCTTACAAGTGATTTGAAATGTTTATCATTTTTTATACAACATTATTTATGTCTAGAATTTAATAAAAAAAAAAGAATACACTTAGAAAGGCCTCCTTGTATATATTACTAGCTGACCCGGCAAACGTTGTTTTACCATATAATTAATTGTAGGGTAGAAAAAGAATTAGGGGTGGACCACCCTTAACATTTAGGGGGATGAAAAATAGATGTTATCCGATTCTCCACCATGACCAATATGCACACAAAATTTCACGAAAATCGGTCGAGCCGTTTCGGAGGAGTTCAATTACAAATACCGTGACACGAGAATTTTATATATTAGTATATACTGAAGCATTAGATCCCGACTTATCAGGACAAATTGAAAAAAATAGATTCGACGGAATGATTATACTAAGGTAGAAGTAACTATATTAAGGTAGGAGGTCTAGAGAAATTATATATACCTCACTGCTTGGATACAGCCTATAATGTAGGTGAGTGGCGCAGGGTGGCCTGGTGCCGCACACTATATCCTGAAGATGCAGCGGGATGCGATCTGGATATGCGATGGTGACATCCAGTATCCACTCTATGCTGTCACCGGCTTTTGTGTCGACAATCTTTTTCACGTTGTTCTGGTTGCAATTGTTATCTGTGATTTTAAAAAAAACGTAGTAGCAAAGGAGTAATACATTTACTTGATACCGTGGAACATTGAAATTTATCATTCTGCAAAGTTGAACGAAGCGATTATATATATGTGTATTTGTGTGAATACTTTTACATACACCCCTTTCATCTTTGTAGCCATGGCACTGCAACGGTTTATCGTGTAAACATGTGTAATACTAATAACAGGAGTTGACCACAGTAATAAGCATGGATGAACTTGGATCTTCTCGGAAGGATCTACTGCCACGCAGCAGCTTTTACTGTTGCACGAAGGCAGGGTTATCCGGCAAGGTCACCACGGCCTCACCGAAGAGCGGCGTAAAGTGGAAGTATTATACTTTCATTCCATTTTTTAAAAGGTTGTCAACGCATCTGCAACCCCTCATTTGCTGCAGATGTGCGATAGTGGTAATCACTTAACATCGGGTGGACTACCTGCTCTTTCGTCAATTTTTCACATAGTAAAATCTGGATGACTTGGTTTGGGTCGTGGGTTTGACTAACACGCGGGGCAACGACGGTTACATCCAAGAATTGTTGTATAAAAAGGTATAATATTCAAGTGTATTGATTGGAAGTAGCTGGGTACGTCGAGTAATAAAAGTTAGTGTTAACATACACTGAGAGTAAACGGAACAACACTATCTATCTCTGTCTAGCAGGGGTTTTGAGACGCGAGAGTTGCAATTTTCTAATTTCATACCTCTTTTTGAATTCTCCTTGGAAGTGCTAGCTCCTTCGTCTCTGCGTGGGCCAACTTCTTCCATTATGACCTTCATCGCACCGGCCCTCGGCAGCGAGACATATTCCAGTTTCGGTAAATTGTTCTTCTCGGCAAACCTTGAAAATTTGATCAGATATTTTGAGAAATAGCCTTAAATCGAGCAGCAAATGTGAAATTACGACGATGAGGAATTTGACTGTGATAATGAAGAAAACAATAGTAATAATGATATCAGTTTATTTTTGATATTAAGAAGTCTTAGATTACATTGTAACTAAAATTCCAACTTTTGTTAGGAATACATTATCATAAGTTTGAAAAATACTTTATATAAAGGAGATAAGCTAATATCAGAGGAGGCTAACTTTAGGATCTCTACAAAACACGACTCCGCAAAAACAATTTTCAATTTTGCGAAACATAGAAATTGTTTTTAGAAAACGATATCGAGTTCGGAATCGCTTGTCGAAGTAATGGCTTCGTACATACTGTGACGCCAGATTCTCCGCTCATAAATTCGCTCGGGCGCCGTTGAAACTTGCTCTACGCGTCTCGAGCCCGTGCTAAACGACTTTAGTCGCGTATCGACCTTCGGCCAAACTATAGGTACGTTCCGTTCAACGCTTTCAATTAAACTATCCGAAGAAATTGAATATGCAAATACCGTGTCGTGAGACGTTTAATTGCACATACAATTAGTTTAGTCGGCGGTTCTGCTAAGGGTTACCTAAAGCCTTAAAGTCAACACGCCGGTGCACACATATTTAACTAGATGAGTAGGAAGTCTGCTCGCTATGTCAGTAATTTTAGAGTAACTGAAAACAATTTCTTGTGACAAATTGTGAGACTTGTGAAAAAAAAACCAAGGAATTCTTCAAAAGCCAAGATAGTTCTTACAATGTTTTCTTATTTAAAATGTTTGGATTCAATTAGAGCCAAACAAAAAGTGCAAAATTTTGTATAATAGTAAAATCGCTGACTACCCCTAAAGAAAATGTTATCATGACTTTTTGTTATAAGAAAAGAATTAATATAAAGCTTAGGCAACCGAAGAAGGGGAAATATGGAGAGGTTGAGTTTTATTAAAAAAAAGTAATGCCTCTTTATTACAAAAAAGTAGCGTAACCATATACGTAATGTAGTGTATTACTTCTACTCCATGATGCGAACCGAAAAGTTTGATTGATTTCTACTATTTCAGAAATACTTTAACCAAGCGTGCGTATAACATATTTTAGTCTTCAGAATAAGACTTAGAAACTAATCATGTTTCTTTATATATGTTCAAAAAAATACTTTCCGATCTTACTTCTAAACGTAATAACGTAATTTCGTCTTTTTACAATTAACCGATGAGATGTCAATTATTACATCACATTTATGTCTGATACGGTGCTAAACTCGCCATGTTTAAACGGTTGGGTTTAATAAGATATAAGGTCCTAAGAAAAGTAATATGCGATAAGTTTCGTTAATAAATGGTACATACCTCTGGCTGACCTCCCTCCTCTTATGGAGAAATCCACCTTCAGGGAACAGCACCATGAACTGACGACCTAACGGTATGTAGTATCTGTGGATGTGTTCCCGCAACTCCTCCAAAGACTGGTCTCTCTTCGCCTTTCCCTAACGAAAAAAGTCAATATTAAATCATCATTCAAATCAGGACCGTTCTTTTAATCAGCTACGTATAACTATGCATTTTATACACAACTATCTTTAACATACATATGTACATTTCATTTCCTTCCTAAAAGAGAAAGACTGGTAACGTATCTCTCGAATTATATAAAATTTCGTCTATGATAATTAGGAATAGCAAAACATTTTCTAAACTTCTCGGCCAAGAACGCTAAATATTCATGCGAATGTTGCGATAATAATAAAAATCTATTAAAACCTGGGGTCACTTTGGTGAAATTGAATTTGTTTTATATTATTTCCGCATCATTTGGCCTATGTTACTCCACCGTCAAGTCCCCCATCCGTGCGAGATGCGGGCGCTCTCGTGTTACACAATATGTTAAGTATTAATAGTTTTTCGACGTCACGCTAAAGGCGAGGGACGTGCTCTAATGGATATTACCAACATTCGTACGGTGATGACGCAATACCTCCGGCCCCCCCGATATCCGATCAATCGATTTCCCTTCAATAAATATTTATTATAGGCTTAAGAATTTGCCATCGAATGCTTTAACGGGCGAGACTTATTATTGTAACGGTTTGTTTGCCTATTATTACATACGTGTACACTACGGTGTGAAAGTTATTATTTTTTTACTATTAAATATTGTATTGCCATCCTATTTGTGAAGTTTTATATGAACCACAGGGAAGGTGAAATTTTAAACAAACAGAAAGTTCGGACAAAATTTATCATAATATAAGCAACAGAATAACCTGTTTAAATGTAACGTGCACTCTTAAAGTTTACTACTGCCTTATCAGAAATGGAAATAGCAATCAAAGCCTTCTAATTGCAAGCCAGGGAAGCAAGAGACAATATTAGTTGAACGATTTAATAGGATTACATCTGAAACTTTACATTTCAGATGTCGAGAACAAAGCGCTGAGCACGCTTAATGAAATTGTTAGAAATCATCCTCCATAAGTCTTATACATATAACTTGCGGTCCAGTTATGCACGAGACTAAACCCGCTAGGAATTTTAAAGCTGTTTTTCGCTCTGCGTAAATTAAATAATTATTTTCCCTCGAGATTTTAATGAGTTTTCGAGAAGTCTAGGCTTCCGAGGCGTCTAAATTTTTAGCAGGCAGTTACGTAAAATGTTGAATGTTTATTTTATGGAAAATGAGGAAACATTCGGCTACATGTTTATCATTTGATATGAATTGTGCATTTTCATATTGCCGGAGATGAGAATATAGTTCAACTATGATAATGACATTCACGCCATTTAAAAAAAAATATCCTAATATAACATACTGGCCACTTTAGAATAACTTGTGTAGGTACGTTTCCTATATTTTATTTAGAAAAATATTCAGTATCAGAATTGGCAGATCACACCAACGCTGCGGTCCCTTGAGGATTTTAAATTAGCCAATTCACCATTGAGTGTGAGTTGATGAGTGAACTCACGACTACCATTTCCAAACTTCTTTCATTAATTAGTGTATAACAACTTATATTGAAATTGATCGAAATTTGGAAATGAAAGTCAAAATGAAAGTGAGCTCACTCCTCAACTCTCACTCAATCGTCGATTTCTCCTAAGAGTTAAACCTGTCGCAAAAATGTTTACGTAATAAAAAAATGTTAAAAATAAATAAAAATGCTAATGTATAAAAATGTTTTGCGTCGAAATAATTAAAAGCAATCGTCACATTTGGTGATTAAGAGAGGACGATTATTGTTTATAGACTTGAACAGTGTAAAATACTCTACATGGCGAGAATATGTCCCATTACTTTGTTCAGAATTATTCATATAACATACTTTTTAACAAAAGCGGTTAATGAAGAAACTTTTCAATCATCATCTTAATCATTTCAGCCTGTTTGAGTCCACTGCTGAAAATTGGCCTCCCCAGAGACTGCCACGAAGCACGATCCGTAACCACCTGTATCCATCGACTTCCCGCAAACTTGCACATGTCATTTCTTCATTTTAACTTTGGATTTCGTGTCGTTACTGTCTATGAATAGAATAAGAGAAACCATTACGTGTGAAGAAACTTTCTAACATAATCATAAATGCTTCTCATGTAATGTAATAATAATATGTACATGTCGCCAGTTTTAATTTAATTTTAATTTTTCTAAATTTTATTTAAAAAAAATTAAGATTAAATTACCAGAAAATTAAATATATTAACTCTTATTTGAATTAAAAATAAATATTAGGTTCAAGTCTTTAACATTTGTTAAATATGTTGATTATGGGAAATAATCGTTCGTTATTAGAGCCCTTAGCGGCAATTATAAAGTGCCCAGCACTAATTATAAACGGCCGTCGGACCACGCCTCCCATTATCTTATCGCTCGACTACAAACAAAGCGGTGCGGGGCAATCCTGAACTGCGCATAACTCAATTTCCTGGTTTTAATTGACGGCCGCCTCTGGCGGAGTGTTCTTGAGTAAACTTCGAGCCGGGCTTTGCGAACGCACCTACCTACGTGTTGACTAGACTACCCTGGACTAGACTAGACTACGCTCCCCGCCCGGATCGGTTTGCTTTTGAACGAGTTAGACTAATTGGGAACTGGAAAAACTAACGCTCCGCTGGATATGCGAGGGAATTGTCGGCGAGCAGTTTGTTAGGCACTTTCCCCACTATGTTAATTAGTGTCGGACATTTGTTCGCGGACATGTGCTTCCGTTTTGTATGAACGGCACTCACGTATCCAACATAAAGTCTGTATAAGAGTGTTTAGTTTATTAACTAAAATTTTAGTGTTATTCTCCCTAAAATGTCGTCCTAAAACGTTTGATAAATTGTCACTTTACGCACAAACCACACTACTAAATCTTTTAGATAACAATTTATCTAAACGTTTTAGGACGACGTTTTGACAATGTCACTTTACACTCAAACCACACTAGATGGCGTCACTCATATAACAAATACAAAATAGATAACACGTCAAAATTTTCGCGCGGTGAGGATACCGTACGGCATCTGAGCGCATTACCCAGAAGGCGTAGTTTCGAATCCTGGCAGCGAAAATAAATGTTTCGACAATTTAAGAACACATTTTAAGAGTTAAGTTTCTTAGTTAAATAGCATCAGGTGATGTTACGTACTAAAATTGGTATTTAAGTTTTTAATGTAAAGTTTATATACATATTCATAAATAATCTCTACTATTAACTAATTATCTGATGAACAACAAATATTGTCTAGGTTTTAGCCTACTAACAATACGGTGTTTTTTAATAAATTTGAAATAAATGTGCGCTGAAAAAGTTGAGAATTCCTTAAGAGGAACGCTGTAGTAGACTTTTCTATACGGATATACGTTGAATGAAGATAGACTGACCCATAAGACATACGGTACGAAACTTAATGGATCATCATTCGTCCTCGTATTTGACAAAAGTTGTTTTTTATGAAGATTTTTTTTTAAAAACAGATATGATTTTTTTATTAATCATGGAGCCCATTGAAATAATATGTATCTACTGTCGTTAATCCTGCATCCATTTGTCAATTAGGCGTTTAGCGGGTCATTCTTTATCAAATAATCCATCAGTTTGCAACTCAGGTATATTTTTATCTCAAAGAGGTGGCTTTAGATTCAGCAATACCTGATGCTAAGCGGGATTCCCCACGTGGACACGTAACTCACATGTGTCCATAACACTTACATGTGTCCATCTCCGGTAGGGGGCATCTCACTCACCGAACGGCACGCAAAAATATAAATATTCTGTAAGCCGAGCACAGTAATAAGAAACAATTGATTGGGTATTGTTCGGCTACTTCCTTAGAAGGTGGGTCGACGACCGACGGTCGGCTTAGAGCTAAGGTTACCACGGGCTCTCGCACGATGCCAGTGCTTGTCCAATGGGCACAGATGGCGTGTCGACACAGTTTAAAACATAATTTTTTGGAGCCCTTAGCGCCCTTCCGCCGATTTTTTTTTCGGGTGTATATACTTTGGGATAAAATTACCCTTTGTTAGTCTCCTACACAAATTGAACATATACAAACACCAGATTCTGAACCCGTTTTTGGTGGTCGCTATAGATTTATTACGGTTGGAAGTCAATTTGACGAAACACGGCGCCAAACTTTTGGTAAGCAATTTAATTGTGTCAAGCAAACCATCAAATACAATTTTCAATCAAATATTTTTTTTTTAGGAATTTAACAGTTACGACTCTTAATATCTTTAATCATCTCGAAAAAACTCTAAATACTTGAATTATATTACGATTTCATTATTTACATATTTTAGCCTCTCTACGGGTGAAGTTTGGATACTACTTGAAACGGCGTTGCGAATTCACGCTTCAATAAAACATTTTTGACAACTGGTGTAAACTTTAAAAAAGCGTTTGTGTCGGACTCAGTGGCGAAGCGCGAACCAATCCGTCTACAGTTAGCCATTTTCAAAAGTCCTTCCGATGGGTCTGGATTGGAACCAGGAAACGTCCGAATAGGTCGTTGCACCCGTGGGAAGCGGTGGAGCCGGCGGTTGTCCCGCTTACGAACTCTTTATATGGAACGGCGAGTCGCTATCGTGATTATGGAATTTTATGAAGCTCCATTAAGCTTGCCTCGACTCAAGAATATTTCTTATTAATATTTAAATATGCGTTATTTATTCGTGTATAAATAGGGTGTGTAAATCAAAATAAATAAATTGATATGAACTTGTAAACTATTAAAATAATATATAAATATGAATAATATATACATATGACTATCCATAACTGAAGCTTGTGGCAGCGATTTTTGTGATTTTACCCCATCGTTCGAGTTAGGAACACACAAAAAACGTAACAATAACAAAATACACAGTCGAACAACATTGTGAACACACACAAATTATAGTTCGGCAACGATATGTATTCACTAACGGCACAATAATTTGAATAACGGAAGGTATTGAAGAAAATGTCTCGGCGTTGCTCCAACCACTTAGCCGACGTGTCCTACTAATGTGAGGCTTCTGCTGTCCAATAGAAAATCGCATGCAACGCAGGACAAAGGAACTATTATTAACAAGGCTCCATTCTCGACTTCACTTTGTCTGGGCCAGAGAACTATTCGTACCAATCCATAGATTATCGATTCGAGTACAATGTTAACGGGCTTACTAATAAAATGCGGGAGCTCCTAATCGTACTATGTCCATTCAGCGATGCTAGTTGCAATATATTACAGCCTCTAGGTAGACTGAGCCCGAAGGATATACAGAGATAGTTGTAAGGAGCCGACCGTGCATCTCTTCAAATGAAAATGAGTTGTCTTTTAAAATACAAACGTGAAAAATTATGTATGTAAAGATATTTCACACATATCTTGTTTCTTATTTTGTTTCTAAACTTCTAGTTTGACCCGCTCTGGCTTCGCAAGGGTGCAATTTATTATACATTTATAAGCCTTCCTCTTGAATCACTCTATCTAGTACGATGGTTATTAACTGGCTGATCCTTAACTACCATTCTATTTAATTTTAGGCAGTATCTAATCCACTTAGCCGCGCGAATCTTAATACTACTTAATTGATCATACATGTATGTCACATAGCAATGACTTCGTGGCGCACTTGTCAAGGCTACGTCGCCAGGGCTCGTGGGTTCGTTTCCCACACGGAACAACGATTTTATTGAACCACAGATAATTATTTCGGATTTGGGTGTTTGCGAACATTAAATTTATGTTTTGTAACGTGTGATTTCATCACTTTGTCGAAATTGTTGTTTTTCTAAAGACTAGGCTGCATGTCATATGAACCTTTGCCTTTTCGAAAGGTCAAATCAAAAAGTTAAGTTCATTTGTTGGTACTTGTCATTTGAGATTGCCGCCGGTTCGAATTGACATTGGATAAATTAGTTTTTGTGGATCCATTATCTTCGACTGGTAAGTAGTTGCTTGGTTTTGTTCATGCCAGTGGTTGTTTTGTTTACGTATTTCGTTTTCTTATCAATTCGCTTTTTTACAGTGCATGGCTAGAGGTTGAAATCAGAACACGTTCCTGGTCGTATTATTTGTGATTGCTGTCTGGGAAACTCTGTGCTGGATTTGTTATCCCTCGTGGTAAGATCCTTTGTTATTTTCATTGGTTTCCTACTAAAATTGTAAAAGACTTGCATTATGAATGTATTTAGAAATCTCACATGAAGGTAGGTTGAGAATTTATTGTCTCGTGTTTCTAAGTATGGTTTTTCGAATATCACAGGTGGATGCTGAAGGCATAGGTGGCTGGCAAGCTGGTCTGAGCTGCTGCTCTATTTAATATTGTTTTTTACCTCCAGTTGGTAAGTTTTTCACATCTTATAATTGTAGTTGGATTCAAATCCCTGCCTTTGTTAGTTCTACAATTTAGTGTTTGTTGGCAGGAGGTCTCCTACATACCCCCCAACAGTGTGGCTGTACACACTACACTTGGCCTGACTTTCTCTACTGGTTCTGAGCT